TGATAATAAAATAAAATTAAAGGGCTCAAAGTATGTAAATCAAGTCTTTAGGTCTAATTACCAGTTTACATGAAATATAGGGGGAAAACGAATATGTTCATGGTTTAAAAAACAAAATTGAACTGAGCAAATTTGAAGATCTAATTGACTTTATTAAGCAATTCATGAATTGGATAACATCCCAGCTAGCAACTAAAAGGGAGTTCAAATGAATTGTACAAAATGGAAGATTTTTAAAAACTGAAAGAATATGGAACTATGAAGTTAAAAGAGTGGATTATTTTAGGCAAGGACACCTCCCCTAAAGAGAAGGCAGGAGATTTTATCAGGAAGATTGCTTTACTGGTGTTAATCAGAAAATTCCAGATTGATTGGTTTAAAACTCCACTCCTGGGAGAGGCTGAAACTGCAATTAGGTTACTTATTAAATTTTAATTTGGCGACATAGCAAGAGTGACTCTATTTTGGCCTGTTGTTTAACAAAGGAGAACATGAAGAAGCAATTAGACCAATGCAGAATGTGGAACACTCTGCAAGACCACTTACCAGTTATCTTTAACAAGGAAATGTCTTGGGAAGAGATAAAAAGGTTGTAATAAGGACTAGACTATATTAAAAGATAACTTAGACTTTAGAGATTGAATTGATTCTGGTTTTAGACCAACCAACTCCATAAGACATTTTGAAAGGAACTAAATATGGACTAAGAATTAGATGGTATTAAAAAATTGTTAATTTTACCAGATGTGATCATGGTATGGTAATTAGGTAGAGAACTGGTTGGTTTTTTTTTTTTTTTCAGAGATGTATTCAAAGATATTTAAGGTAGAAATGCCATGTTGTCTGTACTTAAAATTCCTCAGACAAAAAATAGTTGAAACAAATTGGGCAGAATATTAATCATGAAATCTAGGTAATGAATATATGATGGAGGAAGTCTTTTTTACCATTTATAACTTTATGAGTATTTAAATTTTTCATTTAATGAAAAGCTAAAAAACAAAATTAAAACAAAGAAATACCAATTGATTTGACTTCCCTGGTGCCTCTACTCCCTCTCTTGATATCTAGGGTCAGGCAAGAGCTGGAGTAGCTGCCTTGACTCCATAAGTGGAAGTTACAGGTTGATGTTGATGGAGTCGTGTCAGTCCTGGACTACTTTTCTACCAGCCCTGAACTACCTGCCTACCAAGGGAGAAATAATTATTATAATAATGCCATCAGGGAAAATTTAACTTTAAATGTTATAAATTTGCGTGATATGTCAAGAAATGAGATATATACTCTGAATCTCAGAAACTACCCTCCCTTCTCGCACCTTTGAGACTAAATCTTAGACCTTATGGGACATGCACAAATAGAGACCCATGGAGCAACTCACTGTGATATTCAGAACATTGTTAATTTCTAATAAAAGTTGTCAAAGAGTTTCTTTGACTTATCTCACTGATAATCAAATGACTTGTTTCCATGTAGGTAGCTTATAAAATAGAAATGAAGTTAACTTGAGGACTCAGAGTCAGTGGTAAAACTTTACATAAATATCTTTTCCAAACAGTACATTTCACCAACACTCAGGTAGGTGAAGTTATCAGAAACAGTAATATCAGGATCTAGAAAGCTATTTTTTTTTAATGAATAAAATAGATGTGTAAAATGTCTTCTTGGCAGGATTCTGATTGGCATAAATTTCTGCACATAATTTGTAGTCTGTGGCAAAAATGATAGTTAAATATTTAATATGTTTGAGAATTGTTTCCAAGACTATTATTACAGGATCACTTATTTGGTGCTATAAAGTTTTTATATCTCAAGAAGTGTTTGATGTGTCTAAGATATGTAGTCATGTTAATACCTCCCAACCCTCTAACAGCAGTCCTCATCTTTAATGTTGAGTTTGCTTCACAAGTCCTCATGAGGAATAATATTCTGGGCAATGATTTTTCATTAATACAGATTGTAGGAAGAGTAAGTTCAAAAACCAAGCTATGATCAGAGACTAAAATAGTGATTAAAACCTGAGCAGGCCCCTGTTCCTGGACAGAACTATAAAGGGGATGGATCTTACATTCAGCACTTTCACCCTCATTTTTAGAGCCATTCATCTCCTTCACATATCCATTTTACCCCTGTCCCCTTCCCCAAGTGCCAGCTGCAGTCTAGGTACTCAGAGCTTCTTGGCCCATTGCAAACACCCATTGTTGTGTTTTGGTACCAACATAGCATCATTTGGGTCCTTTATGAACCTCTTCCTTCTCACCAAAACCTCCAATAATCCAAAACATGACTACCATAGAATTCCATCATAATTCTTCTGGACACAAATAATTTGTCTGCACAAAGTCAGAATACTCAAGTTACAGTGATAAAATCCTATGGTCATAAGATAAGTCAGTGTCCATTGAATGATGCTATTCATTCAGTCTTTTATTCACTAAGTAATTCATCTTCAACAGAACTGAGGGAGTAGATGGGGGATTGGGAGTGGGTTCAAGAAGAAAATCAAATCAAAAATGGGAAAAAGGTAGAGGAGAGCAAAGGAAAAATTTTCTTTTTGCATTGATTTGCATTGTCACAATATTTATTTTCAAATAATGTTTAAAAAAAAAAAACCTTAAAACTTCCTTATTTCCAACAGGGGAATCTGAGAAATATTTCATTGTCCCTAATCGAAAATAATGTTAATAAATGTCTAGACTATTGTGTTTGTTTATTTCTCTTTATTTTAGTTAAATGATAAATTTACTCACTTGCAACGTATTGTCTTTCTCCTATTTTGCAATATTTAAAATTGTAATTAATAATTCTATCTATTTTACTTCATTGTCTTTGGAACTATTTGAAAATGAATATGTCATTTCTGAAAAAAAAAATAGGAACAGACACATGGGCCAACGTAAGAATGCACACAACGCATCCTATCTCAAGTTTTCATTGATTCTTTCTTTCATTGTAAGAGTTCAGGCATGAAATTGGTGTTGGCCAATATAAATTTTGGCAACATATGCTTGAAGTTCTTCCAATAAGTCAAATTGTCTCACATTTGTAGTGCCAAATATAATTCTCGACATATCAGTATTTAGTAAAAATTTAGTTCTAATGCCTTAGAATGGTGTCAGCAGGTCCATGATAAAATAAATAAGTGTACCACAATGAGTTTTTTATGAAGTTAATTTTATTATTTTGAAATATGGTCTTTTATTATCATGGTATTCTCTTCCTGTTGAAATAAATTCACCCTTTATGAAACATTGATAACAGTAAATAGTAATCATTTTAATGTGTGCTTAATGTTTCTAATTTAACAAAATAAAAAGATAGAAATCTTGTTTCTTTACTCACTTTCTTCCACTAGAGGACCGATTTTACTTATATTGGAAATCCAAAAGTTGTTTTCTAGGAGGTGACTGAATCAGACTAAGGCTAGGAGTGAAAAGGAGACAATTTCAAAGATACTTTTCAAGTTGTAGACTAATTTTCCCAGTTGTAAACTACTTGATCCTAATACTTATTCTTTTAACTGAAAAGATGCTTCCAAATTGAACAGAGTAAATTCAGAGTAAATTTAGACAAAGTGTTTTATTCATCTACACAAAAGGGTTTTAAGAGCCTGTCTTCTGGGCTTTTCACTGTAACTTCGAGTAACCCTTTTCAGATTACTAAACCAGTCTTTGGAGTTACCAGTTTTTTCTTTCTTAGGAAATCTGAGGTTAGCTAGAATCCAGCTGCAGAACATTAGGCGGAAGAAGCTTGATAATGTGAGGCCATGTTTAATGCTTTTAGTATGTGCAGTTAACCATTTATACACTCTTCTTTAAAAGCAGAGAGCTAGAGTGATAGTGTCTGCAAAGAAAAAGAATGTGTAATTAAATGCCTCTCGGTTTTTTATTTTCAGTAAAATTTCGTCATCGTATAAAATGTTATTGTTATTTGCTACTACCTGTTTCCTCTCTACTTCTCTTGGCCTCCTTCAGAATCCTTAGTTTGAAGTTCGAATAAGTTTTTAAATGATCTAACTGAAAAAAAACGTTTTGTTATTTTTAAGGACAGGGAATAGTCAATATTGCATACTTTTTAAAAAATATATGGATGTAGATATGGACTTAAGCTCCAATACCAATCAATATTTTTAGAAATTTTGTGAAAAGCACTATCTCGGCACTCTAAGCATAGAATGCTAATATAAATGTCAATACCAACCTATTAATATGTTTTCAAAAATACTTTATGTAGAACCAATTTTGTGGTGTTTTATATACAAACAAGTTCAATTCATAGCTCACTAGAGCGCTCTTTCTCTCTCTCTCTCTCTCTCTCTCTCTCTCCAATTCATAGCTCACTAGAGCGCTCTCTCTCTCTCTCTCTCTCTCTCTCCAGCTTTGCTTTCTGTAATTGCTTAGTTCCCTTAATTCTTTATTGATTTAATAAATAAACAACTCTGACCCAGTGCTAGCACCCTGGTTTTCCTTGACTCATGACATGCCTTCTGGAACCCCTGTCTTTCCCCCCATGGGACTGTCCAGTTCCCCGCAAGAGGCCCCAGTCTTGGCACAAGGGCTGGGGTGGCTAGATGAGCGCCAAGGGAGGAGCCAGTGGGGCGGAACCCGAGCCGTTCCAGGGACCAAGCAGTCGGAGCTGCGGTTGGCCCGGAGCCTGGAGTAGAGAGAGAGGCGGACAACACCCTCGCCGCAGACTGGAGTAGAGATAAACCAGTCCCAAGGACGCTCGGAGGGGAACTGAGCCTGGGATAGGAGGCAGCTTATCGGGCGGGCGCGGTGGTCACCTAGGAGCAGTTCGCGGTCACGGGTGTGTCAGAGCCCAGCGCTGAGCACAGCGAGGAGCGCAGCGAGGGCGGCGCTGCTGGACCGCGATCCCTCTGATAGCTCGCTGTCGCCACCCCAGCTTCTCCAGGCGTCAATTGAGCCTGCAAGTTGCAGCTTCCGGGTAGAGGAAAACGTCAAGGCTGAGATCCGAGCGGCCTTTCTGGACCTGTGGCCCCCATGCTTCCGTCGTGGCTATCAGACTCGGGGCTGGAATGATCTTACTGCACTTCCTGCAGAAACTCCTGTTCCCTTACTTCTGGAAGGACTTCTGGCACCTGATGAAGCTGACACGCTATAGAATCCAGATAGAGCTGTACCTTGGGAAAGGGGACGTGGTCACTGTCCTGGATAGATTTCTGAGCCATGCCAAGAAGCGATCCAAGAAACCTTTCATCATCTACGAGGGAGACATCTACACCTATGAGGATGTGGACAAAAGGAGTAGCAGAGTGGCCTATGTCTTCCTGAGCCATTCCACGCTGAGAAAAGGGGACACTCCGTGGCCCTGCTAATGACCAATGAGCCCCACTTCGTCCAGACTTCGGCCTGGCTAAACTGGGCTGCGTGGTGGCCTTCCTCAGCTCCAACTTTCACTCCAACTCCCTCCTGCATTGCATCCGCAGCTGTGAGCCCAGGGCCGTCGTAGTAGGCGCAGGTAGAGTGTGGAGTATAGTCAACTTCTGCAGGATGTCAAACCGCCTTTCCTTTTTTGTTAGAACAGTGCACAACTAATACTTTGGGTGTGTGATGAAGTAAATGTGCATGTTACAAAATAATTTTACAAGTCTATAATTTTACAATTCTATGACTGGCATTTTAATACCCCCTCTCTCACTACAATTACTTACTCTGTTGTAGATTAGTAAATATGAAGACAGTTTCAGAAAACTTTTATGAAATCTCTGCTTCTAACTATTTTAGGAAGGTGCAGTTTTACTGCCATTGATAGCTCATTGATTCATTGAGTGCAAGAACACACACACACAGAGAACTCAGTTCTAAACTTTACAGAGCTGACAAAATTGTTTGATGAGCAGGAAAGTTATCTTGACCTAATTGCTAAATACCTACTTGTCTCTAATAGTAACACTATCAAGGTTGATTACATTTGCAAAACAAATACGTTTAATTTGAAGTGCATGGATTCCTGTCTTCATGTTTGCTCTAATTCTGCACCGCCTGCATGCTAGGAATTGCCTAGCAAGGTTGGGCTCCCACTTCCCAGCCAGTGGGCGGGTTCTTGGCAGAACTGAGCCCTCTTTCTCTCTCTTCACCTGTCCCTATCTGTGCATCATTTCTTTCTTTCAGTAAATTCTAATCTTCTTTCCCCACATACACAATATGAGTATCCAAGTCAGGCTTTGGATACACATGTTGACACTGAACTAAGAAGAAAAGTCTGGTTGAGTGCCTAATTAACAAGGAACCTAGAAAGATGGGCTGCATTACAAATTGAAGTATGAAAAATGATACTTATTCTCTGAACTGTAGCAATAGTAGGATAAAGAGTCACACAGAATTTTGATAACATGGTGAAACAACATGTACTACTTGTTTAGGGGCAAATGATAATGTGAATACAGTATGAAAATATGTCACAGTTCATCTCTGGATATACTCTGACATTTAATTCCATTTCCCTTATTATTGCTCATACTGATTTGGTTTGCAGTTTCTGACGCAAATCTAAAACTCAAATTGTGCTAAAAATTGATAAAGCCATAAATTCCCTTTAGAAAGGAAAACTAATGGGGCCACGGTATCCCTGAAAAGATCTCTGTGGCCATGATGTTGAGGTCGACATGAGAACCATCCCATAACCAGTCCCCTGAGGGCCTCCTAACATGCACAGGGTCAGTTACCTCTCAAAATTGAGTAGTCAAACTTTGCTGTTGACTGAGTTGTTTATTAATTAGGACCAATTAATTTTGCAGTTTTACTTGTGCCTGCTTTTCCATTGCTTGCCAATAACTAATATCATTGTTTCCTTGTTTTTGTTTTTAACAATAAGTCATTTTTATATGTAAAAGCTCCTTTGAGATGCTGGAGTTGTAAGCCCAAACTATTTAGTCTATTTGCTGGGTAAGTATGTAGCTGGAGAAATCGACCTTAAATCTTACTAACAGTTCTTTTTAACATACCTCCACAATATATAAATTACATGTTTTTCAAATATAGGACAATTCTATTTTGATTAATTATTATATTTTTTTATAAAACATAGCTTACATCACAGTCATTTTTCTGTATTTGAAGCTCTTACCACATAACTATATTCTTGGCATCTCGATTCTAATCAATGAACAATATATACATATAGTTTTTAGAATTTTAAATTTCAGAGGTCTTAGATAATAATTGGATGTTTCTGATGGATGTGTACTGTTAAATTATTTTATCCCCAGGGGGTGTATATGGAGTTGGAAAGATCAGTCAAGTGGTTTAGGCAGAGATAAGCCTGACAGACCTGGATTTCATTTATGGTCTGCCATTTCTTAACTGTGATCGAACATTTGATCGGCTGCCCTAGGCTCACTTTACTTAGTTGTAAAATGGTGATAATGCCATCTACTTCACAGTGTAATTCTGAAAATTAAATAACATAGCTTTCGTAAAGTGGCTAGCTGAGTGCCTGGTATGTACTAATTAGATCCTTGATGATTTGAATAGTTGCTATTATTATTATTGAGGCATCTGAGGCTTTTAATAAGGGATCTCATTTAAATTTTGCTGCTACAACCTAGTTTGGTGTTAGGCATAAGAAAGGCTAGTAAGGAGTTTGTTTGGAATAGGACCTTGAACACTTTACTTTGGCACGTTTCAACAAACCTTTTTTTTTTTCTAGAAGTTATATAAGAACCAGTTTCCAAAAGGTTTTATAGTCCAGATAGTGTCCATGGTGATAAGTTAAGTTTCAGTCATGGCAGGTGTCTGAAAATTCCATCTCCTGGAAGAAGCCAAAGGAAAATTATCAGCTAAGCCTACCCAGGCAAATGTTATTTTTGCTGTTACTGTCATTAACAAACATATCAACAGTTGCCGTTTACTTAAGGCTAATGGTGTAAAAGGCACCCTCAGTGATCCTCAGAGGCAGATACAGAGCCATATTTTGGAGACTGAGAGAGAAAGAAAGTCACTAGGGTGTCGAGAGTGACATGACTTAGTAGATTCTAGCGCAAAGACTCAAAACCTGGTGTAAGCCTGTGCTGTACTATATAGTCCAACACAGTTCTGGGGGCTGTCAATCCCCTTATGATATAACTGAAAAAATTTTCATTCCAGTTATATAAATATAGTAAAGTAAAAGTTGCCAATATTAAGACATCAGGCTTTTTATATGCAGATAACTAGAAAAATTAAAATATTTATAAAATTAATATTCCTTACTCTCATAGTCTGAACACTCAAAAATACTTGCAAAGAAGTTTTATATCTGTGTAGTTTGGTTTAGAAGGTATGTCACGTGGCATCCAAAATTTCCCTGGAAAATGTTAGCACTTACTGAAAATTAGTCTTAGATTAAACCTACTTCCCCCTCCCTCGCCATATTTCAACTCTGATATTGCTAATAGTGCCTGCTGCCAAGATTATCATCTACTTACATATTCTTTTCTCTTTACTTAGAACAAACAGAAAATGTAGTGATGCTTATATACCATTTTAGAAAGTATATGTAATTATATCCTTTGACATATTGAGCCATAATGATGATGATGATGATAATAATAATAATACCTTCCATTTTTAAAGTGCTTTATAAAAATCAAAGTGTTTTTATACATATTACTTTATGTGATCCTCAACATAGCCTTGTTTAAAAGATGAGGATAGCGTGGTTAAAGTGGACAAGTAATCTCCTCTAGCTCAAACATCTAGGAGAGGTAGTGTGGGGATGTAGTGCACACTTTCTGATGCTAAATCATAAAAACTTGTTGGATGCACTTTTGTCTTTGTCCACCTTCCTGCTCTTTTTTATTCCCTCATCTCCATCTTTCCCCTTTCTCTCCCCTTTCCTTACTCTGCTCCTTTTCTTTCTCTCTCTATCACCTTCCATCTCTCCATCCACTTTCTTTCAGAGCTTTTTACACTAAGCTGTCCTATCTCAGGAGTGCTATAGCTATGCACAGAAACCCATGGAATGGTAAAGTTTTATTAGCCAATTCACAAACAGCTTTTTATGTGGCTTTGAGGAGTAGGCCAAGAACGTAGATGTAAGCTCTTTGAGCTGAGGAAGTTTGTTTCGTTCACTGATAAATTCTCAGAATTTAATGCAAAGGAGATGTTCAATAACTATCGATTACCGGGACGAATGAATGAATAAATGACCTAATAAAAAACGTATGTATGGGCATTATTAAATAAAGTAACTGTATTTACTTACAAAGTGTTGCTAATAAATTTTCCCTCTGCTGTGCACTTGGTAACTGATTTTGAGAGTAGCTATATCAATGGAATTTCTTTATTGTGTTATTTATATCAATGACACCCTAGAATCATGACACCGCAGAGATAGAGTGTTTTAGACACTCTAAACATCCACAAAATTTCAGATTTATTTGTATGTACATATTTTGCTCTCCTTTGTCAATATAACACATATCGAATCATTATAATTATAAATATATAACTTAAAAAAATATGTTCATATTACCCTGAACTCTTTTACTTTAGATTCAGTAGCATTTTGTGCCTCGACATGTTTAGAAAGGTTTTTGATGTCTGTTAACAAGAAGTAAAAGTTCTTCGTTAGGTCTTTACAATAACAAATGCAGCCTTGCCCTGTTTTCATGAACTTCCATTCAGTCTATGCAGGGCAAACGTTCCATCCAGTTAACAAACATACCATTGTAATTCTCCTAATGACTTTCAACCATAAAAGCATCTGCTTTTTAAAGACTAAGAGAAAGAGTTAGAGGGAAAATAAAGACCCTTTAAGTTTTGTAGAAAGTAATGTGTATTCAGACAGATAAGATACATGGTTAATTTGAACTTTTATTTTATCCATGTACTATGATATCCTGGCATATATCTATTTTAATTTTCAGAGAATTTCTATATTTTTACTTACATTAGTAGAATGAATAGTTGTTTTGCCTTTTTTTTATTTTAGACTCAGTTAGATCAAAGATTACCTCTATTCTAAAAGAATAAACTGATTTTGATAAGAAGTTTAAGTGGCTTCATGGTTCATTAGCTGGAAAAGACAGTGTCCTAAGCACTGATGATGCCTGGCATATCCTTTACTCATCATGGAGACGCTGACCCTGGGGTCTTATTTACAATATCTCCTGAACATGTGTTTCCTGTGAGAGAATGATGCTTAATACTGGCAGGAGCAAAAATGATTTAAAGGGAGGTTGCCTCCTCAGACAAGGGGCATAGCTGAATGAGAGAAATACACATCTTGGAGTCAAGTGAACATGGGCTTGAGTCCTAACTCTGCCATTAACTGACCGCTAACACAAAGCAGATGATGATCAATGAATATTATTGGGTCCTGTGTGACTTAAAAGTAAAGGACACAACAGAATGCTTGGACCATATCTTATGTTCAGTAAATGCTTACCATAATTATTTTTTATTGCATGGTAGCAGAGACATATATGCAAGTAAGAAGTCAGTCTTGCCCGAGTCTCTTGGTTTGAGATTTGCAGAGGGCTATGTAGAGGGAGATCCAGGCATATGGCATATGACCAGAGGAAACTGGTTTTAAGCAGCTGTCCTGTCCTCCCCCAGTAACAGTATAGTCATTTATACCTTCTAACCCTCAGAGGCCAGGGCTGGAATGTTGTTAGACACAAGTTAGAAGCTGGATGGTCAGCTCTTCTCTAGCCAAAAAGAAGATTGTTCCATTTATAACCAAGAAGGCATGTGGCAAATACCCCTGATGGGGTCTGACTCTTGCAAAAACACCATCTTGGAATTGCCTTTTTTTAAATATATACTTTACTTACTGAAAAATAATAAACCAGATACATCATGCTATTGTGGTCCCATTTGAGTAATAATTATGCATTGGTAATAGGAGCTATGTTGGAAATAATGTCAAATGAAGAGTTCTACTTTTTACTTTCTTGCACAATTTTGCCTGTCCTTAAAAAGATATGGAAACAGCTGAGAGTGAAAACACATAAACTCACTTACAAATTTATGTGCATATATTCAGGGCAGTTAGAAAAATTGTTTCAAGGAAGAATACATAATCACAATTGAAAGACTAGTGCTCCCATGCACTTCTTAGGATTATAATGATTATTAATAAACTAATATTTATAAAACAGCTGATACATTTTTCATGATGAAATGAGTTTCTGGCCTCATATGAAGTATTGGTATCTACATTATGACATGAATTGCTTTAGGACATTGCTTACTTATGTGTCAGTTTTCTTAAAAATTATAACCTGCCCATGCAGTCTATGAAAAATCCATAGAGCTGTTGGATGGTAGTTATAAGCATGTGGTGAGATTTATAATTCCACTTTGGATTCTGTGTGAATATGGCTTTGTAGTACAGAAAACTCAAGTTGACCATTTATAGTTGAGTATTATATTTGTTTTATTAACATAAAAGTTTAAAGTTTAAATGTTTGCCAATGTATTAAGAGCTATAAGCAATATCGTTGAAATTATTAGCTTGTTTTATGTAGAATAAGATAATTTAAAGAGTTTTTAATGCACTATGAATTATATAATTCACACTAATGGCATATTAGAGGGATATATTAAATTTTTAGTCACTAATTTTACAGTCTCAGAAATTTGAAGAGATATAATGATAGTGTAGAAACAAGAAAATTCATACAAAAAGTGCTGAAGGATTGTAAGGAGAGAGAATAATTTACCGGTTTTTGTGCTTGCAACCCCACCTTACTCAGTGCCTTGCATATGCAAGAAACAATATGTATTTTTTGGAAGAATTTATTGCTTTCAAGAGAGATCGAGCCTTCTCCTATAACGTAGACTCTATTAAAGGTTATAGAATATTCAACTGTCTCATTTTCTTGTGGTAGTTTACTGTCGAGACCTATTTACAGTGGATCCCATAGGCAGAGTTCAATTCTATAACCAGATATCTATACAGCCCCTATAGTGTGTGTGCCAGGTGCAGTCAGCCAAAGGATGGAATAGGACACACATCATTCTTTTGAGGCACTGACAATTTTATAGATTTCAATGGCGGTACATGTCGCTAAATCTTCATGAAACACAGCCAAGTTTCCTTGAAGTATTTAAGCAAGTACTAGTTTGTGTCGCGACTTAATATATCAAAATGACTCTAAAACTTTTCACCTTATTAAGAAAAATTGACAGTGATAAGTAAATAATGATTCTTTATGCTCTACATGACTTTTCACTTTTTAAATTTAAATTTTCACTATCCTCACCCACATTTTCTACCACTATTGAATAAATACTTTTGTTAGATGAAATTCTACTTGAAAATTCTAAATGTCTCGGCTAAATCAATTTAATTTTAATGTATGAAGGAAATTAAATTGTATCTCCTCTGACTCTTAGTGATGTGCTCATTTTTTTTTTCTTGTAAAAGTCAACACTCTTTGTAAACACTGTTTCTTTAGACTCTATAATTCCAACAAAGATTTTGGGCCACAATTAATCACAGTTAACTTTCTTTGCACTTGTTTTGCCAATTTAGACATACATATCACTAAGAACATATAAAAGATTATGCTGTTGATTTACAATTCCAGGTGAGAGATTTGAAATTAAAGTAATGAAAACAGTCAGTTCCGAGACTTGTACTTAGACATGCCAAATTCCAGATAGTCTTTAAAACAAAATCAAGTACCAAAAGATAAAAGGAAGTAGAAAGTCTAGATCATTTGCTTGTCTTGCATTTTCATTTATTTATGACTTGTCCTCCTCCCAGCATACCTTGTGATTTTTCACTTCTCCTTTTTACCAAAGCAACCTGTATACAGCAGCTTGCTGCGTATGCTCAGTAGAACTAGATATTTTCTCTGGACTCTTACTGTTTGCTTTATTTGGATTTGTTATAGAAATAAAAATTAATTTAAAGAATGTCAAGTCCCTATCTGCCTACCACCCATGACATATCAATTCCTTATCATTTTCTGTTTCCTTCGTTTTCTTGCAAGTTTTAATTGTAAACTGCCTAATCCCACTTGATGTATTTTCTTGCTGCCTCTTTGTGATCAATCTGGATTATACATTTTGAGGAAGTAAATCATGAGTTTTTCTCAAGTGCATTGTTTTATAGTAGAACTAAACAGTGACTGACATATAGCTTTTTGAAATAACCAGATACTGATTCATGTTTCTAGGAAAATGTTTAATGCAGCACCCTGGATTCAGCTTCAAAGCAGACTATATCTTGTGGTTATTTGTAAAGTTTTGTTAAAAACTTAGAAAAAAAAAATCATTGTTTAGGTGGAAAGGTCCATATTTTTATGTACTTGAGCATTCTGACCAGGGCATATTTTATATTTAATAACGTTATTTTTTAATTATTGATTTCTTTTCTAAGGTAATGTATAAAGTTTAAAGTTAGACTTGGATTAGAATAAAAACATTTTACTGTCCACCAACTTGTGATCTTGCTGTATTAATTTCCTAGAGCTGCTATAATGAAGTACCACAAATTAGGTAACTTAAAACAACAGAAATTTATTCCCTCACAGTTGTGAGGGCTAGAAATCCAAAATAAAATGTCTGTCGGGCCATGCTCATCTCAAGGATCTAAGGAAGAATCTTTCCTTGACTCCTTATAGCTTCCGGTGGTTACTAGCAATCTTTGGCATTTCTTGTGTTAACTTTAAAAGGCCAGTGGCATCTCTAGATCTCCTCACTTTACTTTGGCTCTAAACTGGTCTCTAAGACATAATGATCTTATGATTCCAGAGTGGTTAGGGGATTCTCCCAAATGTATTGCATTATAGTAGAACTAAACAGTGACAGTGACAGACAGATGACTTTTTGGAATAATGAGCTACTGAGCTGTATTTCAAGGACAATGTTTAGTGCAGTATCCCGAATTTAGATTTAAAGCAGAGTATAAAAATAGTTGTATTTAAAAATTGGGAAAAAACTTAGTCTGGATAATGGAATTTCCAAAATCGATATGAATTGGCCTATTTGCATTGGTTAAATCAAGTGATAACCAGATTTCCTTTTCAGCTGGTCCTGTTGAAACGGAATCATGAAATGGCTTTGATGTTACCTATCCAACATGAAAAACAGCATTGTATTTACATTTTATTCCCATTCCAACACATAAAAGAAAACACACAGCAAATGGTTTGAGATTTATGTTTTGTTTATCTATTCCTAATCTTTTGGTTTTTAGATTTGCTTAAAACTATAGAAGAAATTCTTCCCAGCCTCCCAGCCTCTTCAGTGTTTGGGGGATGAAAGATTCTCTTCCACAAGGTGTAATTTCACGCAAAGAAAAACTGAGCACAGCATCTGACAAGCAAGTGCCATGCAGCCACCATGTCACCTCAAGCCTCAACTCTTATCTTTATATTTTTACCTCTGGAACAACAGGTATGATCCATTTCTTCTTCAAACTTAAAAAGAAAGCAACACTGTTAGGCAACATTCTACCATGAGTAGTGACATGAACTTTAACTTGGTAAGTCACCATGTTCACTTGCCTGTTGATTCAAGTTTAGTAGTACTAAGAGCATTGGAATATCTGAAGACTTTGACCTGGCCTAGTGGCTCAGAGTATGAAATTTGGCCAGTTTTTTGGCAAGATCTTTGCTAGCTTTTCTGTTCCTTAGATTCCTGATATATAAAATGAAGAGATTAGTTTAAATAG